GTAAAACTACCCTAATGTTAACAATTAAATAAAATATATGTATATGTTACTCACATTTAAATCTGGACTTTCTTAGTCATATCCATTAATACACGGATGGTATAGAGGGGAGTGGTATATATCCCTTTTTTCCTTTTAAAACACATAACACACTTACATAAAAAAAAACATATAACACAATTATGTATAGAGAAATATCACGAAAATCTTTTCCTTTCACAGACAAGCAGTGCAGATGTACCTACGTTGACCGTATACAGAGAGCAACTAATTCTAGTTGATAAAATACTAATATAATTTTTACCTGGAGATAAAGAACAGTTGAAAAAAGAAACATATAAAAATATTATTTGGATTTAAACCATTATTTTGAAGTTATATTATTTAATTTTTGAAAGAATATTAAAATATGCTGTACTCAGGTTTTCTACGTCTGTTCTTTTATTAACGCAATTTTTGTTTTTTTGGATTTCTATCATCTCTGCAAATAATCTTTTCTTATAATTAGATTGTGTTTGTAAAATAGTGGTATTGTCAAAATCGAAGTTATGGCCTGTCTCTATTTTGTGTTCTACTAATGCGGTAGGATTAGATTTCAAAAGAAAGTTCCTTTGATCATTTTTATGTTCATTCAATCTTTGTTTTAAATATCTACCGGTCTGCCCAACATAGCTTTTAGGACATTGAGTACAAGGAATGTTATATATTATGCCGGATTTCAGTTCTTTTTTTTATTCTTTGATTTTGTTTTTGAAAAGAACCGTCTCTTTATGGTGTTATGACTCCTTGTTGTAATTTTTATTTTTTCCTGTTTTTTTGTAGTATGACCCTTAAATGTGTTTTTAATTTGTTCTGACAGACAGTCGATATAAGGTATTTTACAATAAACTTCTCTATCATTTTGGTTAGTAGATTTTACAACGGTTTTCTTGTTAAGAATTTTTTTAATCATAGATATTGGATAATTATTTTTAATCAACATGCTTTCGATATATTTTAAATTTTTATTATGAAAATTAATTGATGATAGTGATGTAGCTCTGATTTTCAGGTTATTAATAACATTAATTTTTTGTTTCAAAGAATGTTCGGAGGAATAATTGAGAAATCTCGGTTCGAAAGGTCGGCTTGTGATACCAATCTGTCTCTATTAATTGATTGTGTCTAATTAGTCTCACGTCAAGGAATGCTATGCTGTTGTTTATTTCTTTCTCCAATGTAAATTGTAGTTTAGGGTGATAACAATTAAATATGTCTAATATACTTTGTTCTTGATTAATAGGAATTGAAGTTATAATATCATCAACAACACACAATTGTATATGTGTGGAATTCCACTGATATGTATTTTAAGTTGTTTGTTAAATTTTTGAAAAAACTTTTATTTGATTGTAATTTTTTGCTCTCTTAACTTTGTAGTGTCCTGAAGATGCAAATAAATTTTGCGAAACGTCGACAAATTTAAAACAAAGGACTTCTGTTGATTTCTTTCGATCCTAATCCAATTTATAAAAAAAAAAGAACACATTATATATTATTGGATCGACAACAATAAAAATTCCTTGATAATATGGCAACATAGTTATTAGATTAAATCTACAACAAAGAAAACCCAAAAAAGATCGAAGAAAAGAAAAACATAACGTATCAAAATCAAAGATAATGAAAAGTCCAAGATTTTATACATTTCTGAACAATGTATTTATAGAAAATCTCCACTAACTACGCCTAAACCACACAATTTTAACTTGTCTCTCTTTAAAAACAAAATCTGCATAACCCCATTTTGTCCCCGGACAACAATGGGTAAACAAAATTAATACGAACATTTTTCACGCTCTTTGTTTACCAGAGAGTGATAATTAAAAAATTCAACGATGACATTTCAAGCGACCGATCGAGCCAACCGACCAAACAAAGGCCGGAAAGGAGGAAAATGCTGATTTTTCAGCAATTTGTCGCCGAAGTCGAGAATCGAATTAATTTAAATTCCCCCCTCCCTTCCGGTTTAATTAGAACTGGTTCTGGGGGGAATTATTCATAAGTCAATTTGTGTCTGAATTGACTTTTAAGCGTTCTGCATTCTTGAGAGTTAGAAGCAAGGGAGTTTTGTTGCAAAATGTGTTTGAAAATTCAGCTAAAAACAGATAGAATTCAGAGTGCATACCTAAATGTTTGTACTAGGGCCTATTTCATGAAAATAACACCCTGTATATTATTTTATTATTAAAAAAGAAAATTAATTAATTAAAATTATTTATTATTTATACGAAAAAAATCTGAAAATACTACTAGAACGTTTGTTTTTCTAAAAATCGAGTTGTCCAAACCTAGAAAGGGATCGATTTAGTTTCTCCTGCAAGTTTTTATAGCCTGTTTCCTAACAGAGTCCCATCTGTTACACAAGCAATTAAGAAAGTTGGTCTCTGTTCCTTTGACAGCTTTACTTCTCAACTTGGGGGAAAAAGAAATGTAGTTTTCTTTTAAAGAAAAAATAAAACGATTCTGTTGGGGTTTAACATAATTTTGTAATAATAAAGAGTTACAATGTGTTTTCCAAGGAATTGTTACTCTAAACAATATTTTTTAAAATTTACTATGAAAATACAACGCGTTAAAAGAAATATATCAACTGTGTACGGCGTCAAAGACAGCTGGGGAATGACAATCGATGATACTTTTGACGAGGTCAAGCCCTAGATGTCGTTTACTTGGCCCATACGCTTCTTTATTTTTTTTAATGGCGCTTACTGTCAGTCGCTATTAAGAAGGTTAAATGGTGTAGTTGAACATTCGAGATATAATAATTTTTTGGAAATAGATTTGTGTGTCTATCCCTTTTTAATCTTTCTACGCTGCCTTTGACGCCGTTTTTTGGATCATACGGTATAAATCTTTAAATAAATAAAGTGTTTACGAATAAGTTTTGATCAATTTGCTGTAATAGATATCTTCAAGGTTGAAATAATACATGTTCATAATTTTTCTGTACACGATACACGTATTCTACTTTTATGCAAACCTTAACATATATAACTTTTTATTTTTATATTTATTATTAATTATAATGAAATACTGCAGGTCGCACAACGCTCAATGGAATGAAATATGCTCGAATAACCAAGAGAGGCCGTAAAAGTTAGGTGGATACGACAAAAGACCCAGATAATAGATGTCATCCACAGAGTCAAATCCCTCAAATGGCAATGGGCAGGACACCTGGCAAGAATAAAGGACCACACAACAGATGGACCACAAAAATTACAGCATGGTGCCCACGAGAAATTAAGAGACCTAGAAGAAGACCGAACCTGAGATGAGACTACACCATAATTGGAAATGGTTGAATAGACTGAGGATAATGATAATAATAATGATGATACCGTTATATTATAGTACGAGAGCTAGCAACGTCGGAAAAACAAGTATTTTAAGACGTCTGGCTCTATGATATATCTTTTACTATGCTCTCTAGAACAGCATGCGGCCCGTCTGGCTGCCGGTAAACGTTGCGTTCTCTACTGCGCATTGAAAGAAGATCCTCTATTTTTATTAGTCCTTTAAATTCTAGTATTGAATATTAATCGAACATAGCGCAGTGCGGAAAAATGAGGGACATCTTTAGAACAAATATCCCAATACACCTGAAAAGAAAGGCATTTAACCAAGGTATCCTCCCGGTTTTGACCTATGGCGCAGAGACACTCACTCTAACAAAAGCAACCGCAGAAAAATTGAGAGTGACACAGAGGCGGATGGAGAGATCTATGATTGGCCTGACTTTGAGATATCGAGTAAGAAATGAAGAGATACGCCGACGTACGGGAGTGGATGACATTATCCAGCGAATCACAAAACAAAAGTGGAGATGGGCTGGACACATTGCTAGAATGGCAGACGGGAGATGGACCAAAAGACTTATAGAGTGGAGACCAAGAGCCGACAAGCGTAGCCAAGGCAGACCTCCCACCCGATGGACCAAACCAAACCAAACCAAACAGCTAAAAACCGCGAGAACTGGAGACGTTTGGAGGAGGCCTATGTTCAACTATGGACGTAAAAGGGGGCTGCGTGATGATGATGATGATGATGATAGCGCAGTGCGTAGAGTTTCCGACCGAGTTCGAATCCGGGTCAGGGCAATTACTTTTTTATTTTATTTTCGTTTATATTCTGATACTAAAGTATTAAATATTTGTTTTTTTTTAATTACCAGAATTATTTAAAACTTTACTATCAGAATATAAACGAAAATAAAATAAAAAAGGCTTTGACCTGACCCGGATTCGAACTTTGAATCATCGATTCGCGGTCGGAAACTCTACGCACTGCGCTATGGAGACATGTTCGATTTATATTCAATACTAGAATTTATAGGAATTAAATTAATAAAAAATATAGGATCTTCTTCCGATGCGCAGTAGTAAACGCAACGGGTATCGGCAGCCAGACGGGCCGCATGCTGTTCCAGAGATCATAGTAAAAGATATATCAAAGAGCCAGACGTCTTAAGATACTTTCTCGAAAACGTTGCTAGCTCTTAGATTATTAGGTATATTTAAAGTTTCTGGTTTGCGAACAAAAATTTTGTATAAGGTTTAAGACAAATATTTAAAATAATGTTTTTAATATTTAATAACGTTGAAAAATCGATAATCAATACACTATTTTAACGTTTTAAATCACATTATAAGCCGACTGCTAAAAAACGAAAACCTTTGTGATAAAATATGAACACTTTCTAAGTCCAAATTGAATAGTATATAAGCTCTGTTTTAATCCGGAAATATCGGAGTGAAAAGCCTTGTAAAGTGGTTTTAATCCAATAGCTTTAGTCGGAGTTCAGTTATTAATTGAATCTACACAGATTAGTGGAAACGGACGTACCATTTATACAGGGAGCGTCAAATTTGTTACCCTCAATGTCTTTTTAGAAAATAATATCACAACGTTGTCACATCGGGGGTTAAAAATACAACTAAGTATACAGAAATACTCACCTTAAATTTTATAGAGTTAAAATCAAGTGTAGTAAAGCTGCCACATCTGAAATTAAAAAAAAAATATTATTAATACTCGCACATAAATATAAGAACTATTATTTGATGTTCGTTCTAAAGAAATTCAGTTTTAAAAATTAGAGTTTTCAAGACAAATCTGTGCAGTTTTGGGTGTATTTTTTTTGTTACTTTAGAATAAGGAAATGTTCTTAAACGTTCAGAAATGTATTCCATAAGCATTATTATTTATAAATGGCACTGTTCCAAAAGATCTACTTCCCTGTTCTTTCGGTACTTTCGGTATTAATAATAAAAAACATATTTTTTGTTACGTGCGAAAGACTTGATACTTTCTAACGGTTCATCAAACTCTTCTAAATAAGGAGCGATGCTATCTCTTACTGTTCTTACTTCTGAATTTATTTTGAAGATTTTATAATGTTTATTAACAATTATTGAAGTTAAAATAATATGTTATTTTATTATTTAGTATAATATTGCTGAATGTATTAGTTATATTTTTTTAATTATGTTTTTATAATAGGCATTTGCATCTTTAATTATGAAAACGTTTTTTTTTTCTAATTTAAGTTGATTTCGAGGTTGGTTGACGTTATTTGATGTAATTTTTAAGCTACTTATGCGTTCTCTTTTTCTTTTTTCGCTTGTATTCATTATTTGTTTTCATGTTTACTTTCTCATAACTTAATAATTTTATATTATTTTCATTTGAAACTCAATTTTTTATCGTTTTACTTTTGAGAATCATCCTTTCCATGCTAATTGACGAACTCCATAATGGTTGAACGAAAATATTTTAGTAAGGTTCTGGAAACTCTAATTAATACTACCGATTAGGGTTCAGATCTTTTTGGCCATCACAGAACCGTGAGAAAGTCCTTTGAGAAAGTCCTTTTACGTGAGAAAGTCCTTTGATACTTTCTAGCGATCGAAATTAAACTCTTCTAAATAAGTAATGATACTATTTCTTATTGTTCTTGTTTCTTTTCTCTTTTGAAGTTCCTATAATATTTATTATGTTATGTTTTAATAGATATTTACATTTTTAATTTAATACTTTAGGGTTTTTGTCTCAAATTCAGCTAAGTTGGTTTATGTTGTTTGATGTGAAATTTAAGTTATCTATACTTTATTCTTTACTTGAGTTCATGTTAATTTTTTCATGGCCGATTATAATATGAAATGAACGTCAAGAAGAACGTCAGAACGAATAAGAATTTCGTTCATTTCATATATATTTGAGCGGGCCGAAAAACGTTTTTTACCATCTTTTAACGGGAGATGCACTAATATCTCACCGACACTTTACGACATCGTCTGTTGATATAGAAGTTTTACTTGCCGTATCGGTGAGAACCAGCCCCTGGACAGCCCACCTGATGAAGGGTAGGCCCAGAAATCGGTTGTGGGAGTGGAGCTTGGTTCCCCCCTTTACGACAAGCAAAACAATTTTCTTTTTACTTTTTATTTTTTTTCTCTACTTTGGATTTTTCGAAATTAGAAAAAATACACAGCTAAAGGCAAGAAAATATTATTTATTACTTAATAATTTGATATTATTTTCATTAAAATTCTCAATTTTTTATCCATTCTACTTTGAAAAACCATCCCTTGCTTTCTGATTGATGAACTGCACCACCATTGAACAAAAATTCAGTTCCGAGTCAGTACCGAAAGTACCGAAAAAATGGGAAATCCCGGTTACTAAGAGACGCGGTACGGAAATTCCCCGTTCCGAAAACCCGCTCAGGTTCCGGAAAGCCTAACTGGGACGTTCTTTTTTATTCATAATTCCGAAGAGTATGAGACGCATCTCTTTAATATTTTAAGAAATAAAAATTCACTTTAATTCTATCCCTAACATTACTAAATTAGCCCTCTCAAACGAGTCATATTTTTTTGTCCAATCTATCGGTAAAATTAGCTCAAAACCCAAACTCTATCCGCTCAATCCTCCTCATTTCAGGCCGCTTCGAGCCGCAATTTCGTGAATGAATACGCACAAGAGCCGGTCGGTCGATAGCCGCCACGCCCTCTGGATAATACTAAGCGAGCGGCATATTTCCCCCCTTTCTGCTAGTTTTACCGCCGCCCCTGTCCACCCCCAGCCAGGTTTAAAGAGGGTGAAACAGCGGGGTGGCACGGTAAAGGGGGGTTGGAGATAATTTAAACACGTTTTATCAAGTCTGGCGGCATGGACCTGGAACAGGGTAATTTGGTGATTTATCGCGGGGTTTCGGGGGTTGTGGTATTGTGTTTAGATTGCTTTTTGATTATTTATTTACCTTGGATGGTGAAACAGAAAGAAAAACTTTAATTTAGGAACATATTTTATTTTATGTAAATAATGAATATAGTCCAAGGAACTAGGCATTCGAATACGAAGTTTTGGCAAAAACTTGAATTTTTGATATCTATGAGTTACTTTGAAAGATCTAAAAATGAATTGTGAAATATTTTTTGAAATTCACCCCCGAGAAAGAGGTAAAATAAATAAATAAAATTATTTTTTTGAAATTTCGGAGAAACGGTAAGGACTAGAAAAAAAAAATTCAAAATAAAAGTTGTAGAGTGTTGTCAAATTGTTATTAGATCAACATTTTGATAGTCAAAGCAGTTTTTTATCTTTTAATTACTTTTTCAAAATGCCTTTATTATTTGAAGTAGGTAGTTGAAGTTGTTGGCATTTTGAAAAAGCAATCAAAAGATAAAAGACTATCAAAATGTCGATCTAATAACAATTTGACGTTTACACTATTACGTCAAAAGCAACTTTTTTCCAAAGCCTCCCAATGACTTCACTGAATCACCGTTTCTTGTTCACTGTTATTAATATCTTAATTATTAGATATTAATACATCTGGTATTATGGTATTCTGGTATTTCGTCGATTTAAAAATGAATTAACTGTTTCTATCTTATTTTTTTGTTAGAATGGGCATAATCAAGAGGGCTACTGATACCCTGTTGTAAAAATAAGGTAATTAAGGGCTTATTTTTGGTATTTATTATAATTTTGCTAATATCTTCGGTTTGAAAGAAGATATCAAGATGCGGTTTTCGCTGACTTTTTAAGCTTTTACTACTCTTAACTATCAGCGAAAATTACATATACTATCGTATTTAATTTTTTTGAAAAAACGCGATATGTTTGTAAAATTGTAAGAAAGCGCCCCCTAGGGTCTACGTTCAAAACCTTATTATTACTTTAATGATATAATATAGAGTAAGAAACGCTCTTTTAAACAAGCCCTCGTTTGTTGGATTCTGATCATCCAGTCCGGAGTTATTATCATTTAAATAAAGATAGATCTAACTTTCCCCCACCACTTTATTTTAGCAGATAGGGAAAAATGGTTCTAACAAAAAAAAATCCAAAATTTACTGAAGATTATTAGGCTGTTATTTATAGTACCGATTATCTAGGCAAAATTGTGTAAAAATTCTATTTTCTTATTTTCCATAGCAGTTGCGCCTTCTTTCCAACAAATTTGTTAGATAAAAATACTTAGCCAGTTAAACTAAACTAGCTCTAAAACGTCTTCAAATTTATATTTATTAATATTTAAATTTACACATTTTTTCAAGACTGCGAAGTTTAATAATTCAGAATTATGGATTTGTGACATAGCATGTTATTGCAATAAGCCCTTCAATTAAAAAAGTTCGTATAAATGTATATCCTAAAATGCTCCGTTTCGGAGTTACAGGGTGTAGAAGTTTTATTTTTATTTCAATTTTTTCCAAATAATTCATGAAGTAACGTCGATATTTAAATGAAAATCGGTGTCTGAGTGTTCTTTGACATGAGGAACTCGATATCAATGTCAGTATGACTCATACTTGCAGGGTACGCCATCTAGGTACATGTTTTTAGATGTTCTGAAGTGTAATAACTTTTCGTCCGTACCTGTATAAAAACTACTAAGTAAAAAATATACATTTCCGTCATTTTTTACATAAAAAAGATGTCTTGGTAAAAATCGCTACGAGCAACCGTTCTCAAGATATTTGGAAAGGAAATAGCCAATACATGTCATTATTGACAAAAAATATACATGTTGATCTACTGATTGAATGTTTTAATAAATAAAAAACACTGTGTTGTGACTTGCTACCATGCCTTTCCAAAAATTGCTGTGTTGCTGCTTTGACTTTCAATTTTACAAATTATCAATCAGGTAATAGAGATCACAGCTTATTTAGGAGACTAAGGATCGGCCAAGTCGACAGGCTGCCCAATAAATAGGCTGTAATATATATTTTCGTTTTCCTCTATATTTAAAAGATCGTTTAAGTCTTGATCTTCCTGTATATTTTCTCTTGGCTCTGTCCTTATGTAATATTTCCTTTTGTTGCCAACTGAAATTTCCCAAATGTCCGAACCTTTTCTACATTATCCCGAGCGCCATCGTGTAGGCTATCCAATTAGCGGGCCAAGGTTCGTATCCTCCCGAGACCACCTGCCCGTCTCATTGCATATTACATGCCGCTTATAATTACCTCGGCGACTCGACGGCAGAACTTGGATTAGTTCTGACCCAGTTCAGAACAGATTTGTGCTCCAAAGTACAGTTTCAACAAAAATTGCGTAAATGTTCTTCTTAAGAGCTCATTTCACTACTCCAAAAAGTAGCAAAATAAGCGTTAAAAAAACTGGCTAGCTATTTTTACACAAATAAAGAAGGAAATTAAAGATAAAAGATTATACTATATCCATATTGTGGCACATTTGTAGACAACGTCTTTATTTTTCAGATTTTGATGGTCAATCATCAACAAAATATGCCTTATGTTTGGACTAAATTTTCTCGAAAATAAAGACATAATTTAAAATTCTGTTACATTACGGAAATAGATTGAAGTTTTGTGATTACAGTAATATATAATGAGGAAAATGCATGATTTTAAATAATGGTTTTAAAAAATAGTTTATATAATTACAAATTGAACAAAAAAAAATTTTGATATCGGTTAAGAAATGTCTCTAACATAAAATAATTAAATATTGTTAATTTAAATGGC